ACTATAAAGGTGCCACGACTAGGCGGAATTAGGCGCTCTTCAATTTCTAGGCATTTTTTGCTCATATGGACTGAATTTGATGAGAAAATAAATGTGAGGCATCGTGGTGGAATCAGGCGCTCGTCAAAATAGTGAAATCGAAGAAATTGGCATTTTTCTGATTGTTGGGCAATTTCTTTCTTATTTTCTTTTTTTGACTCAACACCTATTATATCCCTCTAAAAACAGCTCTGGGTGGATTTTTACTGAAAAACATTGATTAAAGGCACATTGAATGTCATTTTTCAGTTTCCAAGGACTCTCAAGCTTTGGAAATTACAAAACTTTGGAGGCCATTGTCTCGCCAATTTCACCTCTGAAACCAGGTAATCCTGACTACCTTCAATCGTAAATATTTCAACTTCTATTCAACATAGATGGATTCTTTTCATCCTAATAAAGACAAGTGAACACACTTTAAGATGATACCAATAACTCTACATGCTCAAAAATTGACGAGAGCCTGATTCCACCACGCTGCCTCACAAATTATACGAACAACCACATCCCATTTCCCCACTTGCGATTTTTTTAAACACTAGTACATCAACCCGTTCATAGAACGGAGCAGGACAATATAAGCGGTAGAAACAGCATTAAAAGAAGGCAGCATGTAGATGTTGTTGTTGTTGTTGTTGTTATCGATCCAGCAACAGCTGGGCTCTCGCCCTTCTGTCCAATGCCATGTAGTGATAAGTGCAGGTCAGCTGCAGTGGCTGTAATGTTCCATAGAGTGTGTTGTCTATGTTAGGTCTCGGCATGTTAGGTTTTAAAAGAAGGCAGCATGTAGATGGCAGTATAAAAACAAACAAAACAAATGCCAGACTTGAATTAAAAGCTCTTATAATTTTCCTAAAATTTTTATGTTTTGCCTTAGCGGTGTTTTGAGTCAGAAGATCCTTCAGAATTGTCGCAGACGGGGGTCGGTAAAGATGGTAAATTCACCTGTCCATTCGTGCAGCAAATAGACTTAATTTTCTTCCTGAAACCTTTTTGCATTGCAAAATGGAAAAACTAATGTCATTCTGGAAAGTTCGTGAGGTGGAAGAGGATTGTCTGCGCTCTCCTCCGCAGCCGGCGGACACTGTTGTCCATTAGCCTCACCTCACTCACAAACTACACACTCTTACATCCAAAAATAGTTAGGCTACAACAGAAAATTCATACACTATCCGAAACAGGAAAAAACATCATGTTTGCATGGATACCCAGCCATGTGGGCATCCGAGGGAACGAGCAGGTAGACGACCTGGAAAAGAAAGCTTCATCTCTTCTGCTGGGATCAACGACAAACACTCTCCCACAGACTGGCTTTAGAAATAAAGTCAAAAAGTACACCTCCAGTCTGTGGGAGAGCCACTGGGAAAAGCAGAAAAATAATAAAATATATGAAATAAAACCCAAATTAGAGCAGCGAAATCCTTCGGACCTCTCCAGAAGAGACGAAGTCATTTTTACTCGATTGCGCATCGGACACACGGCCCTGACCCACAAATACCTCCTACAGGGAGATGAGAAGCCGTTCTGTGTCGGATGCGACACAGATTTTACCATTTAACACATCTTAACAGAATGTCTAGACTTTGGAGAGATCCGAAGGAAATATTATAAATGCAAGAAATGGCAAGATATTTTTTCCATCATTGGTCCCAGCAAAATTTTGAATTTTATGAAGGCCATTGGCCTTTATGGCAAATTGTAAAATGAAAACTTACTATTTAAAATTTTTATTGTTACTTAAAAGAGTTGTTTTAAATCACAAATATATTTACACTGAATTTGAATATTTTAACATTTTAGCATTTTAGAATCAATTAGTTAACCAATCGTGCAGCAAACTTTTGCGAAAGTAAACAACTTGTGTTTCGCGCGCTCATATGACCTTAGCAGTTGCGAGCGCCGTAAAACCCTATACTACATACATCGCTAATTTTACCTCTGAAAGTAGGTGACCCCCACCTCCTTCAATCCAAAATATCTCCACTTCTCTTGAAGATGGATGGGTAATTTTTTAATTGAAAGCAAGACAAATGAACAGGCTTTAAGGTGATACCAATAACTGAATGTGCTCAAAAATTGACGATAGCCTGATTCCACCACGCTTCTTCGCTTATAATTTTTTAAAATAATAGATTTAATGACACTGTGTGAGACCCCCACCTGCTTGAGACAACCGCTTTGCTCCTCGACAGTGGGTGATCGCCTTCAACAATTTGGACTGCATTTTGAAACAATACAATCTTGCCTTTCTTCTAGAATCCCCGAGGATAAGGTGATCATCAGACAGAGCCATGTGGCCCAAGATTACTACTTCCTGTTGTCAGGAAAAGGTAAGCATTCATTTATTGCTGACTGATTGTAGATTTTCATGATTGTAAAAGTTTTACGCCTCCACTATCTATGACTATTTAGGTAAGTAATGTTTACTCTTGTAGGAGGTTCTGAACCCGCAGGTTTTATACTATTACATGCATTCACTGAACCTTTCCAGTGGGGTGAGTGAAACAGCTTATTATCTTCAACCACGTACAGAAGCCTGTCGGTGGCCTAGTGGTTAGGCTCTCGGACTCGCAACCGTAAGGTCGTGGGTTCGAATCCCGTCAGGGGCCCGACGTTGTGTCCTTGGGAATGGCACTTTACACGAATGTTCCTTACTTCACACAGGTGGGAATGGGTACCCGGCTATAGACAGCGAAAGATATTGCCAGTTTGTTAGTGTTTTAGGGCTTAATTATCTGCTTGCACTGTATGCAGGAGTCCTGATATTCTTGTTCTTTACTGTCTCGTGAACAGAACCCACACACCTTGTCACACTTTGTTCCACAGTGTTAGGGTCACTGCAGTCGGAACATGTCCATCTCTGCTCTCCCCCCCCCCCTCTTCAGGAGCCATCCCAGAGTCTGTCTACTTATAGTCCCCATCATAATCTGGTTGGAGATCCGTCGGACTGGTCCGCACAGATGGCTGTGTTTCCCTTCTCCTCTTTGGATCCCCTTCTCCTTCCATCTCCCTAGAGCG